GTGTGTGTGTGTGTGTGTGTGTGTGTGTGTGTGTGTGTGTGTGTGTGTGAGAGAGAGAGAGAGAGAGAGAGAGCATGTGTGTGTGCGACACTGTGTGTGTATGTGAGTGTGTTCAAGATAAGTCGGATAATACAACTACAACAGAGTGTGTGTGTGTGTGTGTGTGTGTGTGTGTGTGTGTGTGTGTGTGTGTGTGTGTGTGTGTGTGTGTGTGTGTGTTTAATCAGGACATCCGGACCTGTTTATTCATAACCGGACCGTCCGGGTCCGTATGTCCGGTTGTCCGGATCGGTGTCCGGATTACGGGACGTCGGGATTAATCAAGACACGGTCCGGGCCCTGTGTCTGGTCTCTGGATGTCCGGGTTCGGGGCAACCATGAAATAAAGTTAAATAAACAATTTCAGAATACACTTCAATACAGCTGGAAGCACTGAAATGGAGAGCAGGAGCAACATGGCTTGCCACAGAACAAAGCAAGCTTCTGCAATGTGTACTACGATGTTACGCTATGTATGCATCTTCAGATTATAGATGTTGTTTGCAGGTGTTATGTATGCATCTTCAGACTATATGTATGCATCTTCAGACTATAGATGCTATATATGGTGTTTGCAGGTGCTATGCATGCATCTGCAGACTATATGTATGCATCTTCAGACTATAGATGCTATATATGGTGTTTGCAGGTGCTCTGTATGCATCTGCAGACTATATGTATGCATCTTCAGATTATATGTTTGCATCTTCAGACTATAGATGCTATAGATGCTATAGATGGTGTTTGCAGATGTCTGACTCTGTGCCCTTTGTTTAACCTCTGACCTGCATTGGTTTAGGGTTTCTCTTTATTTCCCCTCTTCATGCAACCTGGCAGAACATCTGGGTGATGGTAGTCGTTCTGATATTGTGTACCTGGTTGTACCTGTGCTTTTTTGAATGGTCAATTAAACCAGGTACAAACCAGTTCTTGCGAACTTCGAAAGCAGGCTCAAGCAAATGATCCAAGAGGGGACGACGGTTGCGGGATGAGTGCACGCTGCTGGGCAGAGTAGGTAACACACCCATAAAGACAACGCGTAAGAAGTCCCTGAGCCACATTTTGAAATTCTCTTCATTGCCATTGACTTGCAGCAGGTAGGCCATTACAAGTGGACAAGACCGGCATTCTGGTGCTTGCAACAAACCATTGTTTGTACCTGAGACGCACAAATGGTTTGGACCTGGTTTGCTTGTGGTTTCCAGCTTCAAAATTCCTATCAATCGCATATACCAATGGCCAATCAGGCCAAGTACTGGAGTCTGGAGGATATATTGCTTTGTATTTATCGATTGACGCAGAGCGGCAGAAGGCAATTCTGGTTCTTGCAACAAACCGTAGTTCGTACCTTAGACGCACGAATGGTTTGCACCTGGTTTACCGCTTAAAATTCCTATCAATCGCATATAACAATTGCCAATCAGGCTGAATACTGGAGTCTGGAGGATATATTGCTTCGTATTCATCGATTGTCGCAGAAGGGAACTGAGCAATCTTTTCCTTGACAGCGAGAAGATAGGAAGTATCTGCCTCTTAGTCAACTGTAGTGCCGAAGAGACCTCTCCTCGATAACGAGAAGATAGGAACTTTCTACATCTTTGTCGAGAAGTTTCTCTGTCTTTGCAGAGAAGTATCTGCATATTGTCGACCATAGTGCATGCCTGCCACATGCTCGTTTGCGCCTTCGGTTATGTCTTCCGTTCTTGTTCCCAAAGAACCGCGGAAGCTTCAGTTCATACCACCATTCTTTTGAATAGTTTTATTCTTGCCTAATTGGGTCCATCTTTTCTTTCCTTTTTTTCCCTTTTTTTCCTTTTTTTCCCTTTTTTTCCTTTTTTTCCCTTTTTTTTCTTTTTTTTTGGGGGGCAGCACGGGGAGAAAGACTCATCGAGTCCATCTTGTTTCCTCTTAGATCCTTAGTCGAAACTTCTTATTGCTTTCTTCTGAAGTGTCAATGATACTGCTCCTGTCTGTCTAGTAGGGAGATTATCTCCCATTGGACTGGGTTTGCACAACTTTGCGGGATTGCTAATGCAGGGGGAACCAACCAGAAGTTATCTCCGAGCTCGGATATTGTGGACGAACTCCCTCGCACCTCTCTCTCTCTCTCTCTCTCTCTCTCTCTCTCTCTCTCTCTCTCTCTCTCT